GAGAATGAGAGGAGAGAGAAGGAGAGAGAAGACGAAGAGAGAGGGGGAGAGAGAGAGGAGAGAGACTAGAGAAGAAGAGAGAGAGAGAGAGAGAGATAGAGATAGATAGATAGACGGAGACGGACACGAGAGGAGAGATAGATAGATGGAAAAGAGAAAAGGATGATAGATAGAGAGAAAGATGGAGATTCATAGAGACAGCACGAGAGGAGAGAGAAGCGCGCTGGAGAGAGACGAGGAGCCGAGAGAGTGAGAGAGAGAGAGACGAGAGGAGAGGAGAGGGAGAGAGAGAGAGAGAGAGAGAGATTAAAGAGAGAGAGAGAGAGCAGAGAGAAATGAGAGAGATAAAGAGGAGAGAGAGAGAGAAGAGGAAGCAGAGGATGAGAGGAGAGAGAGAGAGAGAGAGAGAAGAGAGAGAGGAGGAGACGAACTTGACAGAGGATAAGGAGAGAGAGAGAGGAGAGATGGCGGGGGAAGAGAGCAGTTCGAACCACGGCTAAATAAATGCTGAGAGAGTCGATTACGTAAATGCAAGTTGCAAAGTCACAGACAATCAGACATTTTCGCCCACCCCGCCACACGCACACGCGCCGCACGAACGTCCGCACTCTACGTTATGCTCACACGAATGCAGCACACGCACGCCACGTTACGCTTCTGACGGAACGGCACACACAACACTAGCACTTCACGAACGCCACACACGCACTCAAGTACGCTCTCACGAACGTTTACACACGCACGCAACGTACGCTCCACGAACGCATACACGCGCGCACGTATGTTCCCACGAACGCACACACGCACGCGCGTATGCTCCCACGAACTTCACGGCACGCACGCACCCACGACGCATCTCTCAAAGTGCTCGCGAAACTACCGCCTACCGGCGACATCGAACCAACCAATCGGCGCTTTAATCACTCACCCGTGCTGTCACGTGCCTTCTCCTCGCTCTGTCCGCCATTCTCAGCCTTGACCTCTGCTGACCTCTGCTCCCACTTGGCCTTGCCCTTGCCCCGGTCGGCAGCATGCTCCTTGGTTTTGTGTCGCGCTCCGTTCACGTGCGATTCGAGCTGCTCCTTCGATGTCACGTGGACGTTACAGAGCGTGCACTGGTACTTGGAATTCCTAAAAAAGACGGAAAACAACGTAGACGTATAGGCTGGCTGTCAAACGTTTCGAAGACGTTTCCAAGATGCACCTTTATACATAAAAGTAAGCGGTATTATTAGCTATTAGAAGTATTATTAGATGCGTTACATTAAGGGGTATTATCAAAAGTCATATTAGCCCTTGATAAAAGTGTACCACATGACCACACGTATGTTAAACGTGCCTAACCCCATGTTAACCAGCTTTAGGCACGCCGAGAAAGGAGAATTCACCCCGACATAAGATCACGAAACTATATAATTCGGGTTAGTGACAGACAAAAGTAAAACTATATGTTGGCTGTGAGATAAAGCTAGACTACTGACAGGTATACTACTGACTACTGACTACTGACGGGGAAGAGAAATTCACGGGACGGATGGGAGACAAGGCAAATAGAAACCATATAGTTAAGACCGGTAACAAACGGAAATATGTTTTACGGAGGACAAATATTGAAACTAAATTTTTGATGGAACACGACGCCGAATCTAGTGACAGAAACAGCGAAATTTACGACAGACGAAAAAATATATGCATGAGCTTGGTGTGTTACAAAGTCGAAACAAATGCTCTCATAGAAATCAAAAACGAAACCGATGACATACGAAAACGAACCTATACGTTGGTGATAAACCCAACGGGAAGAAAATCCACTGGTTAACTAACAAAATATAATCAAGAGTAGATAATAACAATTGTTACAACAGTTGTAACAATGACAATAAATGTTATATTATCTACTCTTGATATAATATAATTAAAGTCCGGAAACATAACAGCAGGAAAGAGAAACCGATGGACGTTGATAAGAATTAACCTGCAGAATTTTGTGTCAAACGCAACAGTGACATCGGGTGCGTCCGGACAAGCATAGGTGAGCTACGTTGACAAACAGACACTATTATGCCTATATTAAGACTATATGCCTTAGTGACAGCGGCAGCGATGTTTCCGACTGATATTTCTGCTTGTCTTTGCCGCTTCGGACAATCTAGTTCCCGTCAGGGAATCAACATGAAGTTTAACTTCGGCACTGTGGGTGGGAGGTGGATGGAAGGTTTAACCCTGTACTGTGGGTGGCAGGTGGATGAAAGGTTGAACTCTACACTGTGGGTGGGAGGTGGATGGAAGGTTTAACTCTGTACTGTGGGTGGGAGGTGATGGAAGGTTGAACTCTGTACTGTGGTGGGAGTGGATGAAAGGTTAACTCTGTACTGTGGGTGGAGGTGGATGGAAAGTTGAACTTTGTATCGCGGGGAGTGGTGATAGGTTTAACTCTGACTGGGGTGGAGATGGATGGAAGGTGAACTCTGTACTGTGGGTGGGAGGTGGATGGAAGGTTTAACTCTGTACTGTGGATGGGAGGTGGATGGAAGGTTTAACTCTGTACTGTGGGTGGGAGGTGGATGGAAGGTTGAACTCGGTACTGTGGGTGGGAGGTGGATGGAAGGTTTAACTCTACACTGTGGATGGGAGGTGGATGGAAGGGCTAACTCTACACTGTGGGTGGGAGGTGGATGGAAGGTTTATATCTGTACTGTGGGTGGGAGGTGGATGGAAGGTTTAACTCTACACTGTGGATGGGAGGTGGATGGAAGGTTTAACTCTACACTGCGGATATAAGGTGGATAGGAGGTTTAACTCTGGATCCACCCGCCCGCAAGAGGAAAGCTCTAATAGCAGGGCGCAGACAGACGCGATGCGAACAGCGAGTGAGCGCGGTGGTCCCAAAGGTACTCAGACTGAAAAGCCGAGTAAGAGGCAACGAC